GGGAAGCACTGGAGCCTGCACTGGTGCTGCTGAAGCCCTCCCCTTCGGCATCTCACCAAAGAGAAACCCTGGCTTAGTCTCCTTGCACTGCGCACACTTTCTACCTCGTTGTTTAAGCACCTGGCACAGACAGATGCAGAGGCTTTCTTTGGTACAAGACCCATGCCGGCCCTCCGGGGCCAGCAGCACCGTCAGGAGCAGAGCTGCAGCCTTCAGGCTGTGGGCGGCTTTGTTTGCTTTGGAGTTTGCACTTGCACTTGTTTTCCTTGGTATTTGCTCCAGCAGCTCCAGCTGAACGCTCATCCTGGGCAGCTCGGCCCCTGCGGTCCTGAGCTCCAGCACCGTGCTCCCTGCGGTCCTGAGCTCCAGCACCGTGCTCCCTGCGGTCCTGAGCTCCAGCACCGTGCTCCCTGCGGTCCTGAGCTCCAGCACCGTGCTCCCTGCGGTCCTGAGCTCCAGCACCGTGCTCCCTGCGGTCCTGAGCTCCAGCACCGTGCTCCCTGCGGTCCTGAGCTCCAGCACCGTGCTCCCTGCGCTCCAATTTCAGATCATTTCAGGCTTTGCTGGCTAAAAATACTGCCAAGCAATGCCCCCGGCTGTGATGGGCCTGTGCCCCGCACAGAACACAGGTGGGCCCAGCAGAGTCCTCCCTGATGGAGAATGCTCCCAGAGCTGCACCGGAGCATCCCGGCAAACCCGCAGCACCCCATCCCTGGTGACACGGTTCCAGTGCCAGTGCCCATGCTGGGAACAGGGCCGGTCATTCGGGGTGCTGTGAGGGATGGGTGACATGGGGTGATGCTTCATCTCCTGCAGTCCTGGTCAAGCACTTTGGCTCCTGGGGGGCTGTGTCTCATGCGATGGCCCATTGGGGTCCCCAGCAGAGGTCTGAGGCAGAGCAGACAGATGCACACTCACGTAGAACACCCCAGAACACAAAGGACACAAACCCCCGTGCAGGCACTCAGCCCTGCCCCGCTGCCGGGCTCTGGCCTGGGCTGCAGCACAGGGCTCAGCACAGGGGACGTTACCAGCCCTGTGCTGCATCCACCTCCTGCCCTTCCCCAGCACCTCAGGCTCTCGCTGTCTGGCCTCCACAGCTCTATTTTAGCACCAGCGATGGGTCGTTTCCCTGTCAGAGGTCCATGTCTTTATTTAACTCCCATTCAAGTTCCCAAATTAGCGCAGGGAGGCTCCGGCTCTGTTTGCCTTGGAAGAAGATGCATCGCCACAAATTATTTTTGATTCAAGTAAACAAAGCCTCTGCCTCTCTTTCTCCTGCTCCCCTTTGATGTCGGTGCTAATTCCAATGCCCAAGATGTGAGCGCAGGCGCTGGCGGGGCCAGGCCGAGGCTCCGGGGATGCCGTGGGCTCCCTGCCCTGCCCTTGCTGCAAACCCAGCGCAGCCCCAGCCCTGCTGCATGGGGCTGCTGCCGCCCCTGCCCTGAAACAGCCCCAGGCTGGGGCTCACCCCTGGCCTGCAGCACCAGTTTCCAAGCGCACTACAGGTGGCACAGCCGCTGGCACGGCGCCGGCTGCCCTGACCCCCTGCCCCGCCGGTGTCAGGACAGCGTGCAGTGCACGGCGTGTCAGCACGTGCAGTGTCAGCACAAGGCAGGTCAGTGCATGGGTGTCAGCGCATGGGTGTCAGCACATGGGGTGTTAGGGCAGGTCAGTGCATGGGTGTCAGCACATGGGGTGTTAGGACAAGGCAGGTCAGTGCATGGGTGTCAGCGCATGGGTGTCAGCACATGGGGTGTTAGGGCAGGTCAGTGCATGGGTGTCAGCACAAGGCACGTCAGCACACGGGGTGTCAGCGCGGGGTGTGCCAGCACTGCGTGACACCCAGGCCAGCAGGGGACCAGGTAGGGCCCTGCAGCAGCCCCTGGGATACTGCAGTGAGGGTACATGGCGCAAGGTTCATTCAGTTCATCCCAGGCTGCTTCTGGGACCTGCTCTGCAGCGGGACAGGAGGTCCTCATCCCCCAGCACAGAGCTCCCCTGGGGCACAGCCCAGCCCCACAGCCACAGCAAAGGAGCCACTTTGCAGCCCAGAGCAGAGCCCCCTGTGCTGCAGGGCCAGGCCCCCTTGGGGACAGTGACCCCATCCCTGCGATTGCCCTCACAGCCTGCATGGGAGGCCTCCTCCAGGCATCGATCCACCCAGACACACGCAGCTATTAATAGCTGGGGCTGATGTTGACTTGGATCAAGTGGAAGATAACGAGGTTATTTTTAGGTTTATCTCTCAGCCTGAAGGGAAACGCTCTTCGCTGGCTCAGGCAGGCTCTACCCAACCTGTTGAGGCATGGTCAGGCCCTGGAATGAGGGACTCCTGCCATGGGGATGGAGGATGGATGCACCTTGGATGCACCAAGAGCACAGAGGATGCAGCAGGAGAAGCCTTGATGCACTGGTCCCCATAGTGCCAGCCCAGAGGGTCTATAACTCCTACCTTCATGGAGAGCAGCAGCACAAGGAGTCTCAAAGGAAACGAAACCATTGGAACCTTCCCTGGCTGTGCTCTCTGAGCCCCTGCACCACTCCCAGCGGGTATCCAGAGGAACCCTGTCCCTCCTGGTGCGGCCGTGTCCTCACTGGGACACCGGGATGGAGCACCAGCATTGTTCATCCCTCTGCAGGAAGATTTCAAGCTGAGAGCTCCAGCTTGGCACCATCCCACTGCCAGCACAGACACTTTAATTATGCTGTCCCAAGCAGTTGTGCCGTGCCGAGTGGCATCTAAAAATACCCAGAACACCAACTCACCCATAATGAGACACGGAGCACAAGGAGCCACCGCAGAAACCAACCCAGTGGCGCCGGGAGGCTTTTCCCATCGGGAAAGCTCATGGAACCACCATGTCCTCCAAAACCCTCCAATGAAACCACAGCTTTGGAGGGAGGAGGACTCCTCATGCCAGCTCCCCTTCCCCTTGGCTCCCTGTGCGAGCCCTGCGGACGTGGCCATGGTCCCATGGGGGTTTCAATGCCCGGTCCCAGAGCTGGCTCCCTGCACACTCCGCCTGCCAGCCCGGGGTGGTCCATCACACACCAGTCTCCTCTGGTCCACAGGACAAAGGGTTGGGCATGGGATGGCACCCAGGAGAGCTGGAGCTGCCCCTGAGCTGCTCCATTGGCTGGCACCAAAGGCAAATCCATGGGGAGCTGCGTCCCATGGCTGCAGTGAGGTCCAGGAACAAGCACTGGGTTCCCGTGCCCAGATTCCAGTGGGAAGGCCCTGGGATGAGCTGGGACAACAGCCTGGCAATGCAGAGGGGTTTGCGGGTGGTTGTTCCCTCCCTGTTCACTTCCACCCCACACTGGACTCCTCTCCTGAGCTGAAGGCCTTTTGCCGGTGCACCCCTGGCACATGAGGGGTCAGGAGAGCACCCCCCACCAGCCAAACCACCTGAGATCAAGTAAATGTGGGTTTGTCCAGAAGGCGCTGGTTAGAGAACACAGCTCCGCTGCCCCTGTGCACCCCAGGATCAACCAGGACAGGACCACGCTGGAGCTGGGGAGCAGGGAAGGGGGAAGTGGCAGTGGAGGCGGCTTCGGAGCACAGGGGAGCTCATGTCTCAGCCTAGCCTGGCAGAACCTCAGTCCAGAGCCTACGTGGGTCCTGCACACAAGCGGGGTGAGCTCAGCTGCCCCTGGGGCAGGGGCTCTGTGCCCAAAGCCCACGGCATGGATGAGCAGGCCCCTGCTGAGCTGTCACCTCAGGGCAGGACAGGAGCTGGCTGCAGTGAAGCCATAAATCATGTTTGTGCCAGAAGCCCAGCTCCAGAGGCAACGGGGCCAGGAGCGGAGCTGGGGCAGGCACGGGGATCCCCCAAGTGGGACGCAGCTCTTCAGGGAAGACCAGCCAAGCTCCGTGTCCCCTCTGAGCCTGTGCTATTTAAATCCTTCTCTTGTGAAAGCAAGACCTGAACAAGCAAACAAATATTATCTGGAAACACAAAAGCCCTGACAAATCTCCCAAAAATTCCTACGTGGGCTGCGCTGCGGTTGCACAACAGGAAGAGGCTGTTGATCCCATGTGCTCTGTGCCAGCACCGCAAGCCTCCACCCAGAGCCGCCTCTCGGCTGCAAACACAGCTGCACCCCACACCAAGCAGGAGGACAGGTCACAGTTTGAAGTAGCCCGCGGCCAGGCACATGTCCCACTAACCCAGCCCAGGGTTGCGGCTCTCAAGCTCCGCTGGGAGATGAGCAGGAGCCCTTCTGGCCACAGCACTCTGCTTGTGTGGATGGGAGATGCTCGCAGGGTAGTGGGTGCTGCAGAGGTCTATTGAGAGGAGGATGCTGCATGGGTTCCGCTGAGCTCTGTGGGATGGAAGGTCTGACTGCCCTTCTCTGGAGGGACGCGGGACCCCACATACATCACCTCCATCTCCTCCAGCCCCCCAGGTACAGGGTGGAGGCACTGACACTGCTCCTGGCAATGCTGCTCTGGCCCAGCGCCCCCAAGTTTTCTCCTTTCAGATCCCTCACATTATCCTTGCCCTGAGCCAGAGGTCAGAAACAGCCTTTGTGAGTTGGTGACAAGTGTGCGCAGCTGCAGAGCGGGGTTTGCTTGCAGGCCAGATCAAAGCTCTTGCAAAACAAGTTAATGATTGAACTCCTTTCAGGGGTGGCTTGCCCTTAAACTTCAAAGTCTGGACATGTTATGGAAGGAGATAATCTGACCCGGAGTGCACCCAGCTCTGAACACAGGAATATGGGTGCTGCAGCATCTCCCCACGCTGGTCATTTGCTGCCACCTGGTGTCATCCCTGCACAAGTGCTGGGGACCTGGGGGTGGCAAGGATGGACCCGCGGCGTGCAATGGCACCAAGTTTAACTGAAAGCTTTGGGTTTTCTTACACTGTACGCAGCATCGTCGCGCTAGAGACTGACACTGCCCCAGCCTGGCACAGCCAGTACCGAGCACACTGTCACCAGGGCTTGCGCAGGGGCAGACCACAGCCAGCTTAATGAATACAGCACACCCAGCCTTAACCAATAGGGCTTTATTCTCTTGGTATCTCAACAACAAACCTGAGGTACAGTACACAAGTGTGGCTAAAAAAACCCTAATCTTCCAATTATGGTCTGATTTATTGATGTTGGTTAAATAACCAAGTTTGAGAACACTGTAAAGCAAGACATGTGCGTTCCACTACTCCTTTTCACCTTGAGGAAAGCACAGAGATTTTCACCTATCCAAGCACATTATTTCGAGGAGGATCAAGCACCACTTCACTATCACCAGGGCTGGCCAGCACGCTGCCATCCAACGCTGAGAACTCCACCAGCCCTTCCCTTACCTGAAGCAAAGTTCTGGCCTCTGCAGGGACAGAGTTATTCGTTCCCCTGCACAAAGGAGTTTGCACCTCACCACTCTGACAGCTACCTCCTGTTCCTGCCCAGGAACTTGAAGCCCGACTACACCACATCCACTTAAACCTGATCCCTAAACCCAAAAAGCAGGGTACAACTTCCACAGCATCAAGGAGTAGTATAAGGCACAGTACGTTGCTCTTTACCTTAAATTTAAGGGAATGTCAATTAAGGCCGATTATCAACATATTGTAGCCTCCCAGGAATAGTTACAGAGTGCTCCTAAGATCAGGTAATTGTTTCCCGTGTTCACGTCCAGTTTAGATAAAATCAGTTCTCATCCGGTTCAAGAAACGCTGCGGATCAGAGCGACCACGTGCGGCAGCTGGAATGTCACTGCTCGTTCTGCTGCCCCTCTGCAGCGGCAGACACCCCGCCTTGGCCCTTGTTGACATCGCTGATGCATGCCCACAGTCCATCCACGGACTCCTTCCACAGCGTCACCTCAAAATGAGACCAGGAAGAAGTTTCAGCCTTAAAGTACAGTCTGCTCCTCACAACCACCACAGCACCGGCTTGGTGACAGTCTACAACTACAGAAATCAAGCACTGCAGTGTTGATCTAAGTATCAGGTATTTGTTGCTGCCTGCTGTGCAATCGTCCAATGGTAAGGGGACAGTATGTGAGTTCTGCTGTTAGCGCCCCTCCAAAAGAAGTGAAGCCTGCATTTCAATACTAACAACGCAGCACATGTGGTTTGCTGAAGGTCAGGCTCTTCCTCCCCTCTTGGTAAATCAAAAGGAAAAATGCCACCCTTGCAGCGAAGTCCCATCTCAACCAGACATGACAACAGCCTGTCTCATCTCAGCTCTTCCGAAAACACGGCACAAGCCAAGGCAGAGTTACTCACCTTATTGTCTCCTCCAGACACTGCAAGGATGTTGGCAGTAATGGACCAACTCACATGCCAGACAACATCATTGAACTTGTGCAGCAGCTTCGGTGACCAGGAATTTCCAGAGGCATCATCACATGTCCAGATGAACACTCTGCCATCCTAGAGAAGCAGACCGGCTTGGTGGGACCACCAGGTACAACACAGAAGACCCCACCTCGATGGCACCTGGAGCTACCCTTCCAACCCACAGCTCCAATATGAGCCCCCGATGTGTCTACAGGGATTTTTGCTCAACAAAGGGGCTGGTTTCTTACTACAGCTACAGGCAAGATAGGAGTACAGCATTCTGGTGAGAAAGCTGCGTACCAAAGATGACTTGCAAATACCAGAAGAGCTCACAAAATATCTATGTACCAGCTGATTTTTTTCCCCAGCATGAATTTTTCTTTCCAGCCACATGACAGCAAGGCAGCAGCTTTCTGAGTAGTCTTCTTGATAGGAAAAAAGCATTTACAGAATGATTAGCAGCAAACACTACAGCCAAGGTGAAGGTTGAGGACATCAGAGCTGATTAAGAATGCCAGTTATGAGAAAGTAATATATTTAGCTGGAAGTTCAGTGATTTTGATCCAGAGGTATTAAAATATGATGTTAGTGTGAAGGTTTTCCTCAATGTGAGATCATCCTGCTCATGATTTTCAGAATAAAAGATAAGTCTTTGGTACAGAGCCACACACACAAACATAAATGTTTCTACTGGCTTCCGAGTCTGGGAGGAAAGAGAACCCAAAGGTTCTTGTGCACAGACCCAGACAATAGCAAAGGATTGTTCAGAGGACATGTTCCAGTGAAGTAACTGGGAGCAAGGGCACTGAGCCTACCTCTGTCACCCCAAGGGAAGCCTCACCTGTGAGCAGCTAGCAATGGTGCTTGTGGGCAAACCTATGGATGGAGCCCAGGCTACATCTCGAACCCAGTCACTGTGAGCCTCCAGCTTCTGCTCTTCTTTCCACTGGCCATCTTCCTCCCTGAAAACACAGCTACACAATCAGGAGGGCAGCAGCAGCCATCACATTTCTCATCTCCTGTTCTGGAAGGCTTTGGTTTTCAGATGCCAGGTTTATCCAGATAATACAAAGCACAAGTGTTCTCCGCTCTCCTCCAAAAGCTCTATGACTTTAACAGACAAAATCCCTTCCAGAGGATAGAAAGCAGCCCAGGCAAAGAGTGTTTGATCTTCAGTTACCGCACAGAAATCTGCTATTGCCCAAGTGACAGCAGTAATCAAAGACAATCAGAAAACCACTTTCCAAGTTAAGATGAAGCAGGGCTGACACAAATTGCTGTAACCATGTGAGAGACTGCACATCACTAAGTTGTTTCTAATTTTAAATCACTTCTCTAAGACAGTAATTCAAAGATGAAAGCACAGAGATGCTGAAAATCTTGAGATACCAACAGGGACTTGCAGACTATCAAGAGTATCAGGTTTTGTGAGTTCTTAAGCCTGGCAACAGAGCACTTACTTCCAGATCTTGACAAGGTTGTCGCAGCCACCAGATGCAAATCTTTTGATGTAGTTTGGTTTCTGACCAGACGGTTGTTCTATAAGGCTTCCTGGGACAACAGCAGGAGCCCAGCTAACTGCATTACAGCCAATCTAGTTGATGAAAAAATGCCTCTATTAGCAGCTGCTTACTTCAAACACATAAAAACAGCTGCTGAGGGGGTGGACACCTCACATACTCTCTACTTGGGGGGAATAAGCCCATCTTAAGAAAGCAGGAGTCTTACACAATGCTGGATGGACACTGGACGAACAAGACATCCAAATATAGCCTGTCTCAGTAAGGCACTTACTCAGAACCCCTCAGGTCACCAAGTAACTGTTCTATGTGCAAATATCATCTTGCATATACAAACAGTGGGCACAGAGACAGAAACTGGAAAGACACCAGACACACACAGTTGCCAAGATTCAGGAATGCAGAAACCTTTTGTCTGGAGCCCCATTTCTCCCTATTGAGAGCTGCTGCCATCAGCTTATTAAGTTCTGCTTAAGAAAAAATCCCCACTATTTTGGGAAAAGCATGAGCCCTGCATTTTCCCAGCTCCAGTTTATTCACAGTTAGTTGGCACAGATGTTCTTAGGACCAAAGCCACTTCCTACAAGGTAACTTCCAGCACTGTATTTAATGCTAATGCTTAATAAACAGGTATTATCAGTGTAACCTTCACACATTTGGTTTTCTCCTTCATTTTAGTGACTACATTGTATACCTTCCCACCCTGGAGTAATTTAAAACAAGTTATCCCAATTCCGGAAACTGTTTCACATAATTCCACTGCAGTTCAGTATTCATCTACTCTACAGTTCTTTGAGGCCTCAGCTCAGCATTTCTGCGTGGCTCCAAGGGCTCTGTGCTGCTCGAAGGGACAGACTCACCGTGTGTGCATTGCTGATCTTTTTGACTTCCCACTGCCCATCACCCGTGTAGCTCAGTAAGGAGATGGCCCCATCGGAGCTCCCACAGGCCAGGATCAACCCATAGTCATGCGGTGCCCAGCAGACAGAGTTCACTGGGAAGGGAGAAGCAGGATTACACCAAGGTCACTACCTAAAACTGACTACACAATACACTAAGACTACAGTTACTGAAAGTGAGCAGCTTGGAGAGCTAGGAATGAGTCTTGGCATTCCCAAATTTCAGCAAAGCCAGTCAATGAATTTTACTGAATGACAGAAAACTGCTTTATTTTTGGCACCCTTTTAGAACTAGAACACTAAAAGAACACCTTAATGAGAGACTAAAGACTTTGATTATCCCCTGCAACAGCAAAGAGCACTGCTGACTCCAGAACAAAAAATGACTGGGAAGCAGTATTTGGAGTCAGTAGACCAGTCGTCATTTAGATCAGTAACACAACAAAGCTGGAGGCTTCTTAGATCTGTACCTCAAGGACCGATCATCTGGACAAAACAGTCTCCATTGCACAACAAAACACAGCATGCCAAAATCCTCCTTTCTTTCTCCCTGCAGTGCACACAGAGGATTTCCCCCAAGAATTCAGTACCTTACTGTCTTGTTTATCTGAAAGCTGATTTATTTGTAAAACAACTCCTAGGCAAAAAAGGGATGAACCAGGACTGGAGGTTTTCCAGTGACATGACCTGACATTAATGTCCTGTGTACATGGAACGGATTTACTGACTCTCCACTAATTTATCCCCATTGACAGAGACTTTCCTCCTTAACACCAACAGGTTTATTCCAGTCTCACCCAACTCCTCTCACATCCCCAGTCTCACTCCCAGCTCCAGACCCCGCATACCTGAGGAGTCATGCCCTGTGTACTCATAGGTCTTTTCCCAAGTGCCATTTTCCTCCTTCCAGACGATAACCTTCCTGTCGTAGGAGCAGGAGGCCAGGATATTTCCATACATCGGGTGAGCCCAGGCAACCTGCCACACGGGACCTTCATGCCTGCAACCAACAACGTTACTGGGGAGAGCTTGACTTTGTCTTTTGTTCAGTGACAACCACCAGAGTCATTATGAACTTGGAGGAATTTACCCTCATCTTACATTGCCAAACAGCAAAGTGACAAAACATGAAGCACTTCCACAGTTAAAATCTCCCCTTTCCGACACTTTACCCTCTTAGGTCCGCGATGAGGATCTGCCCTCCATTCCGAACATCAAAGATCTTCACGGATCTGTCTGAAGAGCAGGTTGCCAACCGGGTGCCATAGTAATCCATCTGAGCATCGTGCTGCAGGGGACAGGAAAGCTGCTGTCAGCGCGGGCGATGCTGCTCTGTTAAACAACCTGACTACATCCGAGACATGGTGGTGAGAATGGTGAACAAATGGGGTTTTCCAGCATGGTGGGTCCCAGCCCAGCGGGTCAGAGAGGACGGGTTCAACAGCCCAGATGAGCCAAGCAAGCCACGGAGCTGCTGCTTTCACCACACAAAGGTCACACAGGAGAAACCTGAGGAACCCGGAGCAGGGATGCGTAGTGTTTTCAGGGGCAGACATGAAATCTGTGCCACGGGCTGCAGAGCCCGGAGCAGTTACGTGGTTTTGCCTGTTAATCCATGAAGCGGGTGTGAGGACACCGACGCCTCGTATTTACGTTTGGCACTTTGTTCCTTCCCTGAGCGGGCTCCTCGCTCCTGCACATCACCTGGACCTTGCTGTACGCGGCCGTTTCCGGGCGCACACACACGCGCGGGGCGGAGGAAAGGTCGCAGTGTCACCTGCCCCTGCTCCGTCCCGCTCACTACACGCACACGTGGTGGTCCATGGAAACGGGCGCAAGCGAGCCTGGGCGGGACAACCGCAGCTTCGCGCCGCTCCCCGGTAGCCGCGGGGCCGTGTCCGCACGGAGCGAACCGGCGCTGCCCGAATTCCCCACCGCGCTCCCCGCGGGAGCCGCATCCCGGCGCGCACGAAGGGCGAGGGGACACCGGCTCGGCACTTACGATCATGTCCTCGTGCGAGGTGTCCACCGTGTTAATGACCGAGACCTGCGGGTGAGCAGAGACAAACCTTGTGCCGCGCCCGGGAGGCCGGGCCCGCCTGCTCGGCCCGAGCACCGCGGACACCGCTGGTTCTCCCCCCGCCACCGCTCCGACAGGCGCCGGAGCCCCCCGCGAACCCCCTCCGGCCCCCGGCCCGGCCTTACCATGGCTGCGGCTGCGGCGGCGGCGAACCCGGGGAGCTCCCGACGGCGCAGCTCAGACGTGGCACGGCGGTCCCACACCCGAACGGTCCCGCCGCGCCCCGCCCGCCCGCGCCACGAGGTTCCGCCGCGCCGGGGTTCCGGCGTTCCGCGGGGCTCCACTGGCGGGCTGGCAGCGGGGACCGGCGGCAACGCACTGGCAGTGCTACGGCCCTAACACCCGGACCGTCCCGCCCCGCCCCGCCTCCGCCGGGACCCCTGAGTGCCCCGAGGCGCTCCCGCAGGGCCGGACCAGGCCGGAGCGCGGGGTCTGTTCGGGGTCTGCCCTGCCCCGTCCCGTCCCGTCCCGCCTGCCGGGGGCAGGCACTGGCCGGGCCCACGGACAGAGCCCTCCGAACCCCGCCCCGCTCCCGGCCGGCGGGGCAACTCCAGCCTCAGGGGGGCGCCCCGCCGATGCGGCCCTGAGGGAAGCGGGGACCCCGGCCCGGCGCCATCTTCCCGCCGGCCGCCGCGATGGCCAGCGCGTCGTACCACATCTCCAGCTTGCTGGAGAAGATGACCTCCACCGACAAGGACTTCAGGTACAGGCTCCGCCGACCGGCACCAAGGCCAGGCCAGGCCGGGAAGGACCGGCGGCAGCCTCCCGGGGCCGGCGCCGGGGGGGGGGGTGTGTCCCACGGGAGGGTCCCTTCCCAGTGCGGGGTCCCTGGGTGCGAGGAGCGGCCGATGCCGGGTGTGATCCGGAGCGTGCAGGAGGTGTTGGTCCGGTTCGTTTGCACCGTTCCAAGCCGGCTGAGCGGGCAGCGCAGGGAAAGAAACGTCCCCCTCCCTTGCCTGGATCCCTGCGTAATGGAAGTGAGGGCACACAGTGAGAGGGGGGTTAAGAGTGTTGTTGACAGGCAGGCTTCAGCCCCGTGTTTGCTCGGCAGGTGAAGAACGTGACAGCAGAAACGCCGAAATGCTTCTTAGCTTGTTTTTCTGTTAGGTCAGAGCATGAAGGCTGAGACCCAGAGCCACCGGCTCCCTGGGGCTGGGGGCTGCAGGTTTTGGCTGTGCTCAGATCGCCTTCAGAGCTGTTCCTAAGCAGGGGTGAACACTCCTGTAACAGGACTGAGATTCTTTTAGTCTGCATCAGCAGAAAAAATGACCTTTTCTTAGGGTTTGATCCTTAAAGCATTCCCTAAATAATTGTTGAAATGAGCAAGTGTGATGGATTTCACCCGTGAGCGCATCGCTCTCTCTACATCAACCTGGAAGTTACCATTTGTGCCAGACTTGGTATTTTGAGGTCTCTTAGAAGGGAGGGAGTAGCAGCATCCCCAAATAGGTTGATTTTTGCAGAGGCTGCTGGTGTTTTTCTGGTGTTAGAACAGGCACTTTTTAAACAGGTCAGTGATGGAGTAGTTGCAGTGTTTGTCCAAAGGGTTTATGGTTAACACTCCAAACAAGATGTGCCCAACACAGGGCGTATCATAGGGGTGTTCCAGGGCCATTTCCTCCCGGTGCACGGTCAGACCTGGGCCCGTTGCCTGTCTTCAGCTGCAGGGGCAGTTGCAGGTCTGGGTTTCATGTGCTCTGCTGACCTGGGTGGATCCATGTGGCAGTGTCTGAGGTCCTGCGGGCAGGATGGCAGCGGGTAGTGGGTCGAGAGCTGGATGTGTTGCCCTGGAAGACTCAGCTCAGCCTGTGGCCATAATTGGTCATGGTTGTTGTAGGCAGACGTTGAGGTGCACGTGCAGCTTTAGTGGCTGATGCAGAATCAGATCGTGCATTTTTCCCATCCTGGATTTCAGGCTGTTGCCACCACAGCAATCCCTCCCTCCAGATGTACCTGATACCTGCTGCTCCGGAACGGGCTGCAGATGGAGGACACGAATGTTGCCCTGGTACATGAGGGCTCTTGCATGCTGAGAGAATTACATCAGAGCCTGATTTAGAATGGAGGGTTTGTTTGGCAAGCGAGAGGGAAGAGCTTCTCTGTGGTTCCTTTTCAACGTCCATCCTGGTGCTGGGGCTAACATTGGAAAGCAGCTGATATACAATAACCACACAGAGGTTTCTCAGAACCTCAGGCTTCTCTGGTAGTATCTTTTACATTTCTTGCTCCCAGGAACACAGATACTTCCCAGAACTTCCCAGTACCCATTTTGACGTTGTCCCTGTTAGAACATTACACTGACTAACAGTCAGCTGGGCGTTTGTTTTTCCTTCTGAACTGCAATGATGAATACCTACTTGGTTTTGCTCATAATAATCTAAATACAGCCTAGGGAACTTCTAAGGTATAGTTTGTATGGAGTCATTACTTTATCCTTTGTTTCTGAACTTGATAGGCCTTCTCCATGCATGGGGTCATACTATCAGACTAGGTATGCCAGAAAGAGCAGAGCCAGGCACATTCATAGACTCCAGACTGGTTTTCCTAGGCTGGGCAATTGGTGAGAAAACCCACCCTGAGTTTTTGCTAGCAGAGTTAACCAGCTTGATTTAGTGACTGAGAAAAACAAAACAGCTGGGTGCCGTTTGTAGAGTTTTAGGTTACCCCATCCCTGCCATGTATATTAGGGAAAGAAGAGAACCTACATTTTTCATTTTCACATATTGCTTAGCTGAACCTTTTCACCAGCTGCCTCTGTCTGAGTTTTACACTTGTAAGACAGTAAATTCTTTGTACCTTATTCTTCAGACTGGATTGTGTAAAGGAGTGTAAGTTACTTTTTGAAAGTGTGTTTTCATTTGTCCAGAGTGATGGGAAGGAAATGCTCATGTGTCTGTGGATCAGGCAATCCAGTTCTGCTGTGTGTTCTTTCAGGTTTATGGCCACCAACGACCTGATGATGGAACTGCAGAAAGATTCAATAAAACTGGATGAAGACAGCGAGAAAAAAGTGGTGAAGATGCTTTTGAAGTTGCTGGAGGACAAAAATGGGGAAGTACAGAACCTCGCTGTCAAGTGGTAAGAGCCTTGGCAGCAGTTCTTATTCTCCCTGGCAGTAACAGAGCTGTCTCAGGCTGCAGAGAGTGTGTGAGAGCGGAGCCCAGCCCTGCAGCACTGGCACCTTGCTGAGAGCTCCCTTTGCAGGGTGTCCCTCATGCTGGGCATGGCAGTCTCTTTCTCTGCTGGTACAACCAGTGAGCATACAGGTCTCCCTGTTGAGGCAGTAGGGGGTTTTGGAAGCAGCTCAGTGTTTATGGTATGAATCTTGCCATATTACAAGTATCATGACTAAGATTTTATTTCTCTGGAGGGAAGCCCAGTTTAAAATTTGGGGCTGTAAATTTTCTCTCCTTTGAAATCCAGTGCTGAATTTCCCAGTGGTCCTGTCTTTGATCGAGATGGTACTGAACACGTACAGCCTTTCAAAAATGGCATTTGAATTTGAGGTCCAAATCCTACTCTTCAAGGGCATTTTCATTAACATTTATATTGCACATGGGTTCTTCCCCTGCACTGAGTCCAAGTGCAGCCTGTGCTGCTGCTTTGCTATTGGCAGTTTCAGTATTTTTTTAACCCCATCTGGAAAAGGCAGAAGGTTCCTTTACTACTGAATCACCTGATGAAGTGATCCCACTGCTGACATGTTCTTTCCTGTCTCTTTCCCCCAGTGTTCATTCTAGAAATGCAATTGAATGGGTCAGTTCACCACAGGGCTCCAGAAAGGTGGGCCACTTAAAGACAACCTTGGGTTCCTGTATTGCTTCCTACTGTGGATCTTATTCACATTCCCTTCATTTATCCATATACTGCTTCTATCCCTCTACTCTCTCTGTGACCTGTGGCCCTTTCTTTTTGATTCCTACTGTCCTGACTTTTCCTGGTCCTTTTCCTGTCTCTGCCTGCTTTGGGTTTGTTTATTCTGTTCATTAAAGCAAATGGTTGGGCACCGAACAGAGTATGAATGTCAGGGGCTGTTTATCTGGGGTTGCATTAGCAGTTAATGTCCAGTCAGTTATTCCCAGCCAGGTGCAAGGATCTCTAAGCAGGAGAAATGTGATGGTCTGAAGGACACTGGCAGGTGGATTAGGGCCAAGTGTGGATCTGTGCAGCCCACATCAGGATTCAGGAGTAAGTTAGGAAACTATTGGGAGGTCTTGCAGTTGATTTTATCATCTAAAACTATGATCTTATTTCTTCAGAGGAAAGCTGAAATCACACTTCGTCCCCCAAAATACCACAAATTTGAAATCCGTATGAAAACTTGTCCTGTTTCTGGTTCTGTGGGTTTGTTTGCAGGTTAGGTGAGTTCCTGAGGTTCCCTGTGCCACAGTGTCTGCCAGTAAAGCAGAGAGAGCTATCCATTCTTTTCTGCATAATGAGCTGTAAGATTGAACACTACTTGCACAAGGTCTCAGGATTTAGTATTTCTTCTCTAATTCTTGTATTTCAGAGTAGCTGCTCAGACTCTAAATGGTTATTATTGTCCTGATTGTAAAGTTTAGAAGTAGTCTTACACAGAACAGGCTGCGTGTGAGTTTGCTTGATGAACTCTGCGTTCAGCATGCTGTCAGGGGTAATAGTGCTGTGCCAGCAGGGAGACAGCTACCTGTGCATAGGTGTTCCATACCCTTTGCACTACTGGACTTGGGGCTGAGCTGCCTTTCAGGAGGAGTGAGCCTGAGCATCCCTTATGATGGTGAAAGCATCCCTCTTTCTCTTTGTTCTGACCGGCTTCTCCTCTCCTCCTGCAGTCTGGGCCCGCTGGTTGGCAAGGTGAAAGAGTATCAGGTGGAAACCATCGTGGATACACTGTGCACAAACATGTTGTCAGACAAGGAGCAGCTGCGGGATATCTCCAGCATTGGACTGAAAACAGTCATCTCTGAGCTGCCACCAACTTCCACAGGTAAAGCGTCTGTCCCTGTTTATCTCACTGAGACAACAGGGAATCACGACCTTTGGGAAACAGAGGAAAAGGGGTAGTTCAGAGCCTGAAAGTTACAGATTCCTTATGCACCTGCTAGAGGAAAACCAGTGAAGTAAGGAGAGAGGGTAGGAGCCGAGGCACCAATGTGACTAATAATGGGATGAAATGAAAACTTGAGCTGGTCACCTGGGGGATACTGGAGTTTGAAACGGCATCTGAGTTCTTGGAGAAATCCATTTTTTTTTACAGCAGTCCTACAGCATCCTGTGTATGTCGTGATAGTGCTGTTCTGGCAGGTCCTCATGTCAGCAATGCACTACCGTGTGTGATCTCAGCAGTGCCAGCACTGCACCACCTCCTGTCTGCAGCCCAGCTGGACCAGGTCTCCTGACTGCTCCTGGAGACTTCCATTTCCTCTGTAGCCAGCTCATGTATCTGTTGTTCCTTCATGGTGGGTGGCTGTGGCAGTGCTGCTGGGCTGCTGGATTTTAGGTGGGGAGGAGAAGTAGGATTAGCATGCAGGGGCTTGCTGAAGTCCTCTGCATTTCTGCAAAATGTTCAGTTCTTGTGAGCCATCCTTTCAGAATTCCTTATTTAACATATATCACATGAACTGCGGCTGGTTTAGGGTAGCAACAGATAAGTCAGCTCCTGAAGGGCTAGGATTGATGCTGTGTGGGTGGGAGGCAGCAAAAGCAGTGTGGGTTTGCTGCAAAATGGAGAGGTTGAACATCTCCGTATGTGCTTTCCTCACCCTGAGCCCCAGTCTCTGTGGTTGCTGTTGCGGTGGTGCTGCTGGAGCAAAGGGAAGGTTTGAAACAATGGCCACAAAGCAGCATATGCCTGAGGCAGGCTCCTCTTGCAGTGCTGTTCAGCAGGTCATGGTGTTCCTGGGACATTCCACTTCTGCTTTGGCGCTGTTGCATCACGGAGGCTGTTCAGAATGGTGTGGGAAGCAATTGTCCCTTCCTTTTAAAGCTTTATGGAATTTGAAGCTGCTTATAATTTGCACTGAACAAACTGGGAAAAATCCACAACAAAACCCACTGTTGGGACAGGCACAGCCCAGCGTGAAGACTAAACTGGTATCTAGATGTCAGTCTGGACTGCAGGAGATGGAGGTTTTAGACTGCAGTTGTAATCTCAACACATTCTTGAACCTGGGTTAAATACTATTTTGAGACAGATTTATCCAGGTCTACCCTTAACTTTCAGCATGGAGCTGAGAAATGGTTTCTGTCAAGACTGCTCTTCCTATGGAGAAAACCTTGGTTTGTTGAAACTGAACATTTTCAAGTTAAAAATGGGAAAAACATGCCAGAACCTTCTCACCCACCCCTGCTCCCTGTGTTGATGGGCCTGGGAGCTGACTGGGAGACAGCCAAAGTGCTTTAGGGTGAAAGACACTGTCTGAGAAGCTTTGTCCAGATAGTTACTGCATGGTACCACCGGGGGAGTATGTGCAGCATGTATCCACAATCTCAAACAAAACCTGACTGCTGTGCTGGTTAGGTCTCCCAGGGGTGATTTCTCTTCCTAATGTAGAAGGAAACGAATGATTCTTAGCAGTAAAAAGACTTGTTTTGAATTGACAGTGGAGAAAAAAAATCTCCCTCTTGCAGGTTCCACCATGACAGCAAACGTGTGCAAAAAGATCACAGCCCAGCTGACAGGAGCCATTGGCAAGCAGGAGGATGTGTCCGTGCAGCTGGAGGCCCTTGACATCCTGTCAGATATGCTGAGCAGGTACTAAAGGATTACCTTCTGCAGGGGGCTGTGTTTGCTTTTGATTTCTCTATTTCCGTAATCCTGCTACGAGGACTTAAAGATTTGGATTGGGTGCCACTGGGGAATATCTCAGCAGAGCAGATTCCTTAGCAGGAATGAGGGATGACATGCTGAGCCCTTCCGTGCTTGGGAATGCCAGTAACATTGGTGATGGATCCCACAGAGGCTCAGTTCAAACACATATAGGGAGGGAGAGGTTAAAGCAGGGAAGTTTATTTTAGCCCTCTGATCTGTTTGCACATGCAGTTTTTCTCCTGGCTGCCTCTTTCTCTGGTTACATGAGTCAGAGTGACAGTGTCATCTGTCAACTGCATGCAGGAAATGATTGACAAACCCCCAGGTCATCCAGAAGGACATGGGCAAAATCAAGCTCCTCCATGATGGAGACAAATGACCTTTCCCTGTGTGTAAAACAAGAGCATCAGACCAGGATGCCAAACCTCCCTCCCCACAACACGCACAGGTTCTTCAGAGCTGAAGCAGTTTTATGGTTTTTTTTTGCTGGCAAAAGGGCTTTTTCTCTGAGGCTTTGACTTTTAACTTCTGCCTCATTTTGTTGATTGCAGACTAGGGGGAACACTCTACTCTTTCCATTCCTCCATCCTGAACTGCCTCCTGCCCCAGCTGACAAGCCCCAGGCTGGCAGTACGGAAAAGGGCCATCATTGCCTTGGGACATCTTGTCTTGACCTGCAGCGGAAGCATCTTCTCAGAGCTCACCGAGCATTTGCTTGCTGAGCTGAAGAGGAATGAATCTACTTCTACTACGAGGACATACATTCAGTGTGTTGCTGGCATCAGCAGGCAGGCTGGACATCGCATAGGTAGGATGAGTAGCTTGAAAGGATGCTGGGAATCACACATCTGTTGTAGAGCTGCTCCTTTTAGTGGTAAAATAAGTATGCTTACGCTGTTGCTAACGTATTAGTGGCTTGTGCTTTGTGATTCCTTCTGTGGTTCTGACCTGGCTCTCTGATCTCTGCTTGGAAGGAAGGAGGCACCAGAGTAATCCTCTGGCTGCTCTTCTGTAGTGATTTCATCTCAAGGTCTTGCAGTGCTTCCCTTCCTGAATTAGGTCAGTGGATTCACCACATTTTAAATGAGAGGAGAAACGGAGGGCAACATATTGTATTACGTGTCTAAAGACCTGCCAGAGCTGAGATTAGGTCCTAGATCTCTAATGGCTGCTCTTCCATGACTGAAATACCAGCAGGGGGCTGAAGGCAGGTACCAGGGTTCTTCTGCTGAAAAGCCCTGCAGGGCTGGCCGTTGGTGGGCTGCTGGCTCCTTGCCCCAGTGGTGCTGAGGAACGCTCTGCCTAGCACACGAGGGAAGTGGCAGATGTGTGAGCTGTCAGCACTCGTGGGTGAAGGCTGGAATGGTTTTTCACTACTGCTTACTCTCTCTTTCCCAGGAGAACATCTGGAGAAGATAATTCCTCTGATTGTTCAGTACTGTAACGTGGAAGATGACGAGCTGAGAGAGTATTGTTTTCAGGCCTTTGAGTCTTTTGTGAGAAGGTGTGTGCCCTCGAGGAACAGCCATGCACCATGCTGTGCAACAATGTCCTCCTAGTGAGACTATCCGTATATTCAGCATCCAGGGTGGAGTACCTTTCTGTGTGTGTTCCTGTTGGCAAAAGCAGTTCACAAATGAAATATCTTCTTCACGTGCAGAGTTGGGCTTGAGTTATGAGCTGGTTTGCCTCAGCGTGTGAGGGGGTGTTTCTGAATTGGTTCTGCAGGAATGGGAGTTTTCCTTGTCCCTGGAGGATTCCTCAGCAAGAGGGATCTGCGGGTCTCCTAATTCCTGGGGGACAGGAAGGGGGCTCAGCTCTCCTGCTGAGCTGCAGTTCTCCCATTCTTTGGTCAAACATTTCCTGCTTGACTTGTTAGGGGAGCTCTGCAGAGTGCTGAGGTTTTTGCCCATGGATGGAGGATTCACCCATGTGGTGAAGGCAGTTTATCATTTTTCCTTACAGAAATCATTTCATCCTCCCCAGGGAATGTGCTCTTGGTTTGTGCACAGCAGGAAAGAGCAGCTCCACTTTAATTCATGTTAGCAAAATGTTCATATAGTTTGTGAAGGATTTTGGGATCCTTTTGAAGTTAAATACGTTATTTGGATATTTAAAATAGCTCAATCTTTAATTTATTAACTCTTAGGATTTTCATTTGTCATGACAGGTGCCCAAAGGAAATAGACCCTCACATCCCTAATGTGATGGGGTTATGTTTGAAGTACATCACCTTTGACCCAAACTACAACTATGATAATGAGGAGGAGGAAGAGATGATGGAAACTGAAAATGGGGAGGATGAAGAGCAAGGTGCCTGCTTGTGAGGATGACTGTGCTCTGCAGAACACTGGGTTAACATTTCTCCCTAAAGGGGTACCTTTAATACCTGGTAGTTATAGATGACATTTCATAATGTCTCTATTTATCGCTGCTAAGAACAAAAGTTAGAACAAGTTCCTTGGAAAAAAGCGTTTTTGTTTGCTTTCATACTAACGGGGTAAAATCCTGGCCTGCTTCCTGGAGAACATGTTGAATGTTCTGCCAGTAACACAGTAAATTGTTACACTGTGTTGTGCCATTCAGGAATTGCTAAGACAAATATTTACATGTTTCTGGCATTAAAATCTGGGAACCTCATTCTCCCTTCACAACAAAAGCCTCAGTGCCTCAGCTGAAGCAGCCCTCACTGGCTGCAACATTCAGGTTCATTCTCTGTCAGCTCTTACTTGGAACAGAAGAATCTGCTGCAGGGTAGCCCTGGCTCATATTGGCTGGTAGTGACGCCTGTAGGGACGAGCCATTCTGGACCATTCCATGTTCCCAAATACGTGTGACTTACTGGCATCAGATGTCTGGTCACTGGCGAGGGCAGCTCTGAGGGTCAGGTGATCCTCTAGCTTGTAACGGGTCTCCCATAACGGTGCTCCTTGTTTTCCCTTCTCTCCAGAAAGCGATGATGAGTACAGTGATGACGATGACATCAGCTGGAAGGTCCGCAGGTCTGCAGCCAAGTGCCTGGAGGCCATCGTCAGCAGCAGGCACGACCTCCTGCAGGACTTCTACAAAACCCTTTCCCCGGTCTTGATAAGCAGATTCAAAGAGAGGGAGGAGAATGTCAAAGCTGACATCTTCAGCGCTTACATCTCCTTGCTGAGACAAACGCTGCCCATCCAGAGCTGGCTGCATGCAGCCGATGCCTCCGGCAAAGATGATGTTCCTCTGAGGATGCTTCGGAACCAGGTGAGTGAGAAGCTGTTGGATTTCAATCAGAATGAAGAGAAGTAGATGCTGTGCCACCGATGAATAAACCCAGTAGTTAAGCATGAAAAGGTAGCTAGGAAACTCATTGAATAAACTGTAGAAATAGACTGGAGGAAGCCATGGGAAGCTCAGTGAGGTTTGGGTCTGGTCAGCAGGTGCGGGAGGGCATGCAGCCCTGCTCATCACAGGAGAACAGCCAGTGCCTTCCAGGGGAGCTGACTGTGGCCATACGCAGTCTGCACACCACTGCTGAGCACACCGTAGTGGAAGCACTTTCTCTGACACACTGCTCTAGTTCAGAACAATGCTGGAGTAATTGCAGTTGGCACAATTCAGCCACACATGCTGATCAGGACTGCCTAGCCCAGGGTCCTTGCTAAGACTGTGCTGTACATGTGCCATTTCAGAAGACAAAAGGAACATTGGAAATAACTATGTAGTTATAGAGTAGCATGACCACAAGAGCAGCTTTTTCTGGCTGATGCTGCCTATCACTGACTGGTGAGTCCCTGAAGCAGGAGGATTAAAATCCCTTCCAAAATGAAATTACATCATTCATTATAAGCTATTAATTTAAACAACTTGCACCTCAGCCCTGTGATTTTGATTTCACTGAATCACTGGCAGGTTTCAATACAGGGATGGGGCTAGGTCCTTAAACAGCAGAGAGGGAAGGAATCGCAAAATTCTGAGCTCCTTTAGCAGTGGGGCCTGGTCTGATAATTTTGTTGTGGCTCCTTAAGCGTCTGTGTTAGGGGATAACCTTGGCTTCAGGAAGGGCTGCTTAGTCTGTCGGTAGAACATGGAAAAGAAGAATAGTGTCCCCTCCTGTGTCCTGCCTGGTAATCCAGCCCAGCCCATGCTCAGGTGGTGGGGAGTGCTGTTCCATGCTGTGTTCCTGCTTGTCCTCATGCTGTTAGTGCCTCTGGCATAGCTGAACAAGCTGCTCCGTGTCCTGGAAGTGGGGTGACTGATGTGTGTGTTCCTGGATTTCTTTTTTCAAACTGCAGGTCCCCAACATCGTCAAGGCCTTGCACAAGCAGCTCAAAGAAAAGAGCATCAAATCTCGACAGGGTTGTTTCAGCCTCCTGACAGAATTGGCCAATGTGCTTCCTGGTTGCCTGGCAGATCACGTCCCTGCACTCATCCCTGGTAAGCTTGGTGGTCTGGGGGTTAAGGAGCAGGGTTGGCCAATGCTACCACATGCTCCTTGCCTGTGTGTTCCAGTTTGATTCCTGTATATGCTGTTCAGCATCAGGGCATACACATCAAGTTCTGCTTTGTTGATGTGCCAAACAGCTCCCAGATCAATCCTGGCCTCTGCCTACCACTGAATGCCAGGATAGGAACATCAAGTCCATTTCCACAGTCTCCTGAAGAGATGCTTTTAGGAGCACTAAAACTAGCTGGAGTTATGCTGTTACTGCTGGGGTCAGTAATGAGTGATGTTCTCTTTTACAAAATGCAGTAGCATTTAAAAAAACAATTTGTATTGGTTGCTTATTTAATTTGCAGCACCACATTTTTCCTTGAGCTCTTCTGCCTGTAGGCTCATGCAGCATCCCACTGCTGAGAGGCTCCAATACTTAGGTCCTGCCTCTGCTTTTGGAGTGACTGTACAGTACATATAAAAACATTCTCTTGTGCTTATCCCCAGGCCAGATCCATGCACCTCCCTCTTTGGAAAAACCTAGTCAAACCAAGTGTCAGGCACGACCTTGGGGGGGGCAAGCAGCTTTGTTGTAAGTGCTTCCCATTAAGTCTTCTGGGAAATATGTGCCACAGAAATTGGACTTGGAAGTACCTCCCTTCTGCAGAGGCAGTCCGTCTGTAAGGGGCCACAATTTGTTCTGAACAGTGCTAACAGATGTAAAACTAGGTGAACACAGAGCCCCAGCTTCTAGAAGACTTCTGACAGCAGAATAGGGGGAAAATGAAAAGCTCAGGAAGGGGCATTCCCGCTGCCTGGAGTGCCTGTTGTTGAGACTAGGCTTTGCCAGCCTTAGTTTCGTTCCATTCTCTCATACTTCCTTGCACTTGACGAGCAGTCCCTTCTCCCCTAGGACCAGGGTGACTTTGCAAATTAACTTTCTAAGAAGTGTTTGTAGCCCCCCAGGACTGCTGCAGAGACCAGTTATGTCTGAACTGCCACGTCCTGGAAAGCAGGAAGTCAGCAAGGAGAGCAGCCCTCTCTCTGGGCATACATTTCTTGGGTGGTGAGAGGAAAGTAAGAAAGAAAACCAATTCCAGTTGTGTCCTTCTTTGGGATGTGTGGGTGTGATAAAACCGCTTGCTGAAATAAGACGCAGTCCTTCTCATCTCTTCTGAGCAGGAATTGTTTTCTCCTTGGCCGATAAATCCAGCTCCTCCAACATGAGGATCGACACACTGTCCTTCCTTCACGTTCTTCTTTGCAACCATCAGCCGGAGGTATTCCATCCTCATATCAAAAGCCTGCTACCTCCTGTTGTGACCTGTATTGGAGACCCCTTTTATAAGATCACTTCCGAAGCCCTGCTGGTTACTCAGCAACTTGTGAAAGTTATCAGGCCGTTGGACAAATCCTGCACTTTCGATGCCAAGCCTTACGTGAAGGACCTTTTTCCTGGTACTCTGAAGCGGCTGAAGGCAGCTGACATCGACCAGGAGGTGAAGGAGCGTGCCATCTCCTGCATGGGACAGATTATTTACAATCTGGGAGACCATTTAAGCACTGATCTCCAGCCAACCTTGAAGGTATTTCTAGAGAGGCTCAAAAATGAAATCACCAGATTGACAACAGTCAAGGCATTAACCTTAATTGCTAGTTCTCCCCTTAAGATAGATTTGAGACCCATCCTAGGAGAAGGTTTCCCCATTCTAGCTTCCTTCTTGAGAAAGAATCAACGTGCCTTGAAGCTGAGCACTCTGACTGCCCTAGACATCCTGGTGAAGAACTACAGTGACAGCCTCAAGCCTGCCATGATAGAGTCTGTCCTGACAGAGCTCCCTGCTTTAATCACTGAGAATGACATGCATGTTTCCCAGGTGGCTGTCATGTTCCTTACTACTTTGGCTCAGGTTTATCCCTCCTGCATCTCCAAGATCAGCGGCTCAGTTCTTGCTGAAATCCTGCAGCTCATCCATTCGCCTTTGCTTCAGGGAGGGGCTCTGAACGCCATCATAGACTTCTTTCATGCTCTGGTGCTGACGAAGGCGGCCCCCATGGGGTACGCGGAGCTGCTGAAGCAGCTAACTGCGCCCGTTTACTGCTCCGGGGCAGCGGCGGCTCCGACATTACACAAACAGGCCTATTACTCTGTTGCGAAGTGTGTGGCAGCCCTGTCCTCAGCTTGCCCCAAGGAAGCCCCTGCGACAGTGAACCGGTTTATCCAGGATGTAAAGACCCCCAAGTCCAGCTCTGCTGTGAAGGTGCTGGCTTTCCTCTCGCTGGCAGAGATGGGGCGCACCACCAACCTCAGTGCTCAGCGGGAGCTCAAAACCGTCATCCTGGAAGCATTCACGTCCAGCAGCGAAGAGGTGAAATCCGCCGCTTCCTACGCGCTGGGGAACGTCAGCGTTGGGAATCTTAAGGAGTATCTTCCCTTCATGCTGAAAGAGATCGGAAGCCAGCCCAAGAGGCAGTACCTCCTGCTGCACTCTCTGAAAGAAGTGATCAGTGCCTCCCCGGCCGACAGCCTCAAACCCTACGTGGAGGATATCTGGGCTCTGCTTTTCAAGCACTGTGAGTGCACAGAGGAGGGGACGCGCAATGTGGTGGCTGAGTGCTTGGGGAAGCTGACTCTGGTGAATCCCTCTGAGCTGCTGCCCCGGCTGAAAAACCAGCTGCCATCAGGTAAGGGCAGGGAGGTGGGAGAGCGGGGAATCCTCCTTGTAAACTGCTGGTGGGTACAGCAGGGAGAAAAGCCTGTCTGCAGAGGAGAGAAGGCAACAAGTGGGGTCTCTGCAGGGGGGCTGGAGAAGCACTGGTTTGCACGGGGGGCAGGAGGGTGTTAGCAGAGGGGCTGCACATGGAGAGTGTGTAGAAGGGTTTAAACAAGGAGATTGTTAGGACAAATCCTGTTCTGTCTCTCCAGTGCGTGTGTGATGTGACTGAGAGCAGTGTACACTACAGAGTCACAGCAGTGATTTTACCTCTTGATCCTTCACTGTTTTTTCTCTCCATCCTCACCGCAGGCTCTCCCCATGCCCGGAGCACAGTGGTGACTGCAGTCAAGTTCACAATTGCAGACCAACCTCAGCCCATCGATGCTCTCCTGAAAGGCTGCATAGGTAGGGCAGTGACCTGGGAATGTGAGGTTAGGTGTCACTGCAGCCCTGGGATTTTTCACACCTATGTGAACCTCATCTAATCCAGTTATTTATCTGTGTTTATCTGCTTGTGGGATTAAAAGGCAACACTGTCACGTGGGTCCTTGTTGAATGCTCTCATGCCTTGCTCTCAGGCATATTCCATTGGCGACAGAGGTTTTTAGGGAGTGTAAGTTCCTTAAGAAAAAAACCATACCCCAACTTCCTTGAATGCTAAAGCTTCTGGTTTGATTTCAGGATGAGGCAGCTGGAATCATGGGGCATGTTTTTATGGCCAAATGTAGGGAAGTGGTGTCTTTTCCATTCACCATATCCCAAATGAAGGGAGGGAAAGCACCTCAAATGTCTCTGCAAGGCTGTGCCTCTGGAGCTACCTTACCTGAGCTGTTTTGATAACCAGACTCTTTGGAACACACTGTGATTACTTTTAAACACTTCTCAGTCGCTGCAGCAGAACTGACTGGTGCGGTCTTGTCCCACAGGTGACTTCTTAAAAACCCTCCAGGACCCGGACCTGAATGTTCGACGCGTGGCTTTAGCCTTGTTTAATTCTGCTGCTCACAACAAACCGTCTCTGATCCGCGATCTGCTCCCTGCAGTTCTCCCCAGCCTGTACAACGAAACGAAGGTCCGACGGGAGCTCATCCGGGAGGTACGGCCACAGTCTTCTGGGTGCAGCACAGCAGATGCAGCACGTGAAGCCCAGTGAGGCTTTTGCCCCTCTGCTGCCTGGTGACGGATGGGTTTCTGTCTTGTTAAGGTAGAAATGGGGCCATTCAAGCACACGGTGGATGATGGCCTTGACGTGAGGAAAGCTGCTTTTGAATGCATGTACACGCTGCTGGAAAGCTGCCTCGACCGACTGGATATCTACGAGTACCTGAACCACGTGGAGGATGGACTGAAGGATCACTATGACATTCGGGTAGGTGCTGTGCCCAAGCTGTGTAATTCCTTCTCTAGGGTCTGGGCTTGAACTGAGCTGGTGTGTCACCACAGCATGGAGTGCTCCTGGCATGCCAGTTCCTGTTCTGTGCAATTACCACAGCCTTCATCTGGGGCTGTCCAGCTCTAGCTTTACCCTGGTGTAGCTGGGTTTATAGGAAACTTAACGAAGTCTAAAGTAAGTTTCTTCTGCCTTAAAACTTGTGATTTGTCACTTGCTTAGTGTGGCAGTGATACTCTGTTAGGAACTAGCACTGTCATTGATGATGGCCCCACAGCTGGATGCATGCTGGGGACTCCAGCCCAACCGGGCAACTCCAGTGTGCTGGCTGCCAGTGCCTGCATGTCTGATGCACCCAAAGCTCTCAATAACCCCCCCTTGCACAAATGCACAGGGACTCAACAGCCCTGTGGGTGCCACACGTTGCTGTGGGGAGAGCAACCACGCAGCCCCAGCAGTGGATCCTCACTGCAGGCCTGGGGCTGGTGGGTGCAGCCAAGTAATGCAGTTTTCTTTCCTCCTGGTGTAGATGCTGACTTTCATCATGCTGGCTCGGCTGTCCACGCTCTGCCCCAGCGCCGTGTTGCAGCGGCTTGAGAGGCTGGTTGAGCCACTCCGGGCAACCTGCTCCACAAAGGTGAGACCAAGGAGTGGGATGCACTGGGACGGGTTTTGCATGAGCCTCTGCTGCTGGCTGCCTGTCCCTGCTGCTGAGGAGCCGTTCCCCACACTCCTCTGGAGGGACAGTGCTCGGCTTGGCTCTGTCTCTGCTGTGTGTCCTCTTCCTCCTGCCTGCACCACCTTTTCTAAATGATAACAGCGCTTTGGATTTGTAGGTTAAAGCTGGTTCTGTGAAGCAGGAGTTTGAGAAGCAGGACGAACTGAAGCGATCCGCCATGAGAGCCGTGGCTGCTCTCCTGACCATCCCTGAAGTAGAGAAAAGCCCAGTGATGGCTGAGTTTTCATCTCAGATCAGATCCAGTCCTGAAATGGCGTCGCTCTTTGAGAGCATTCAGAAGGATTCTGCCTCCCTCTCCACCTCAGAGTCAATGGACATGAGCTAAGGTCTGCCCATTTACTTCACCACCTTCCTGCCCTTGCTGATACCCTGATGGGATGAGGACGTTGAGGACAAGGAACACCATAGAGCTGGGCTCTGCTGCAGCAGCCACTTGTAAGTCACTGGGGACTGACAGGAGAAAAAGTCAGGTCCCAGCAGCACCAGACACCTTGCTGACTGCAGGGAGACACACGAGAGGAGGGAACTGAACCTTCCTTACACAGGGGAGGGCTGAGGAGAGGAATATCCTTGTGTTTTTAACGGGTGTACAAAGTAATTGAAATTGAGCGTGGTTCCGTGGGAAATGGAAACTTCCTGAAATATTTCCTTACTGCAGGACAAAGTTTTAAATGGGATTTTTTTAACCACTGCACATGCACTTTCTACCCCAAACTGCCTGAAGAATGTATTTGTATTATTTCACTAGACAACATGGCTGAGAACCAGCAGTCATGTCTGTAATTAGCAATGAGCATCACAGTCACAGGCCCTGCTTCAATGGGAGACCTGCAGGAGCCATGCTGCAGGGGCTGCGTGGGGTTACCTCCCAGCCTCAGCTCCACCATGGCACCAGCAGCTCGTGTTCCTGCACGTTTGGCTGCAAATACCTCAACCAGCAGTCTCTGGAGCAACAGTTTGGGTTACAGTAAAAACCCTGTGCTAGGACTGACTCTGCATTTAACACTGCCTTGTCTTTCCCGCTTGAGCAGCTCAGTGTTTGTGTTGTGACCAGCCACAAAGGTGCAGATCTGTGCTGACTTTGAGCCACAAACAGCAGCAGGAGAGCTGGTGCTCAGTACTTAAGTGTCACAGAAGAGGGGTGACAACAGCCAGAGGTGTAAGCTCATGAGCAGCACCACTATCCCTCTGTCGCTTGAAAACTTAATTGTGTGGCTGCTGTGGTCAGGCCCCACATTGCACAGAGGAACTAAGTAGCCTTAAAAGACAGGGTGTGGAAAGGCCACCATGACACGGTGCCTGTGGCCCTGGAGCTGCAGTGACCTTTAATTTCTCTGCTTATGACAGAGTGGTTGGTGTGAAGAATATTTATAGCGTGTGTGAAAGAACACCCATTGTTTGAGTGGTATAAAAAATAAACCTGTGCTTGCGGAGCTGCGTGTCCTCCAGAACTCACCATTAGCTGCCACACCAACACACATGAGCCAGTGGTACAGGGGAGCCACCCGCTGCCCCCAGCCCCAGCCCTTCCCTCCAGCCATTCACAACACCCACCCCAGTCTGTTTTACACTTTATTAAATACACCTCGGAGGCAGAGGCTGCTCTACTCGTTCTCCTCACTGCGCAGCCTGGCGTTGGGGTTGGTGATCTTAATGGCGAGCTGGGCCGCCCTCTCCACGATTATCTTCCGGTTCTTAGAAGACACGTTGTGAGCGATCTCTGCGCAGTACGACCTGTTGGGAACACACAGTGCATCAGGCTCAGCTCCCACAGCAGCCAAGGCAAAGCAAAGTGCTTCAGAGCCATCCGGCTGGCAGCACTGGGATGCAGCAGAGCACAGCAGTGTCACAACACAATGGGGGAGCTGAACGATGCAAGTCTCCCTATCACCAAGCCCGACCATCCCAGCCTGAGGCAGGAGCTCAGCACAGCGAGACCCTTCTGCTCTTCCTCTTGTGAACAAAGAGCCAGTAAGAGGCAGTGTTTAAGCATTAATTATTACTCTTATTATTTCGTTCTGAAAGTGCTACATGTGGACTCAGGCCTGTGCCTGAACAGGCACATGAAGCTAGCGCTCTCCAATTGCTGCTTTATCAGTAGTACTGAGCACGTATTGAGCTGTTTGCCACCTCTGTGTCACTGTGCTTCACCTAGAAAGGCTGCACAGATGAGCCCTGAGGTCCCTTCCAACCTGGGATTCTGTGACCAAAGGAGGAGTTCATCAACCAGGACCCCACGGGTGCACTACTGGGGAAACCAAGACAACCTTCATGCTCCTGAAGGCAACAGCTTCCTTGTGTCCGCCTCCCCTGACTGCGCTGCCTTTCCCCCGCAGACTTACTTGTTGCTCATCATGAGCACCTCCAGCTCCTTGACGTTGTGGACCAGGAACTTCCTGAAGCCCGTGGGCAGCATGTGCTTGGTCTTCTTGTTGCTCCCATAACCAATGTTGGGCATCAGGATCTGACCCTTGAAGCGCCGGCGAACTCTGTTATCAATGCCCCTCGGTTTGCGCCAGTTGCGCTGGAGAAATGCAGAAAACATTTACTGCAGGGAGCAGTTCTGAGAGCAGCGTGAAGGCAATGGCCTCCAGGTGACAGCTCCAGCCACTACTCACCGTGCCAGGCCGTGACAGCACAGCCCTGCACCTTTCGTGCCTTAATTCACCACCACCCCCGAGGCAGCTGTGCCCAGGTGTCCCCGAATTCACATCCCCATGAACTTCCCCAGTGAGGTTTTACCTTGATCTTGACATAGCGATCAGACTGATGCCGGATGAACTTCTTGGTTCTCTTCTTGACGATCTTAGGTTTCACGAGAGGCCTGAGGGCAGGCATGGTGCCTAAGGCAAACGGGACCGGTGTGAGCAGGGCGGCCTGGCATGGAGGCGATGCACTGCCCGCCTGCAGCGCGTGTCGCAGACTGCCTTCCACTCGCGGGCCACTCCGGAGGCTAGCGAGGGAATGGGTGTTCGCCTGCAGTGCCTCTGCCTCCCGCCTCCGAAGCTGGCAGAGCACTGAGAGCTCTCCAGATGCGATCCTGGGAGGTTGCCCGCGGCCGCGTTCACGTCCCCCTCCCGCCCCGAGCACTCAGGAGCCCTCCCCACCCCGAGCAGGCGGTGCTGCTTCAGCTATCCCTCGGCAGAGCGGCGGGGGAGCCTGAGCGCCAAACCCGGGGGGGGGCTGCGCCGCCTGACGGGAACGGGCCGGCGCTCGCCGCGCTGCCGCTGAACGTGGCGGGTTTGGCGCACACGCTCCGGCGCCGCTTTACCGAGGGAGCGCCGCGGCCAAGCCCGGGCCGGGCCCGAACTCCCACACCGCGACCTCGGTCAGGCCCCAGCCGACGCCGCGGCGGAGCCCCCGTTACCCGGCCGCCGCCTCGCCGAGACCCCACGGAGGTCCCGGCCCTAGGGGTCCGCACCGCGGGGAAGGAGGAAGGGAGGGGAACGGACCCGCGGGGGCAGCGGATGGCGACGGATGGGAACTCACCGGGAGCGCGATGGCGCCTTCCGCGGCAGGCCCCGCCGAGAGAGGGAGGCGGGGCCGCGCGCAGGGGCTGATGGGATATGCGGAAGGTCCTGCCAGGCTCACGCGGCGGAGCAGAGCGGGCACCGAAACGACCCCGGGCCGCCGGCGGAGGATGGCACCGGGCGTGCTCTGTCCGGCGGGGCCGTCCCGGTATCAGCGGATCGGCGCTGCCCCGCGCCCGGTACCGTGCGCTCGGGACGGAGCTACGAGGACCTGCCCGAGCACACACAGCTTCCGCCAATCCCGCCGGGCGCGGGAGCTCCCCCTGGCGGAGCGGCTGCTCAATCCCGGAGCGTGGGAGCGGAGGCCTCCGGGGTCGCACGCCCGAAAGGCGGCGGCGCTGCCGCACATCGCTGCTTTCTCCTCATCCCCCTTCCCCTCCGCACCCGCCCCTGAGCACCTCTGCCATCGCCAGCCTCCACTTGCGCAGCGGAACCAGAGCTGCACCCCCCCCCCCCCTCCAGCCAGGGCTGGGCACTTGCTGGCAGTGAGCGCCGGGAAGGCACCGTGCACCGGGGCTGCGGCTGGGCCCAGGAGGCACCGCGAACAGGCACTACAAAAACTGGGATACGTTTATTAAAAGCCAGGGATCTGAAACATGACATCACAACAATGACCCGAGCCGGGTGCAACACACAGATAAATACTTAATGTAAGAACTTGGTCAGAGTAACCCCTGCGCGGAGCATGTAAGGCTGTGAAGACCAGGAGGTGGGAGCTGTGCCTTTCCGGTGCCTTTCCTTCCCAGTGCCTCAGCCTATGCTCAGTCTGTCCCGGTTCTCCCAGAGCCATGTGTGGTACACGTTTAACTTGTGGTCCTGTGGCTGTACCTAAAACACCATGAAAATGCTCAGCATTCAATAAAAGACCTTCTCTTGAAAAACCTCATTGCTCTGGTGGATTTCCCCTCCTTTGGGACCCCTCCGTGTCTCACAGAGCCATGTGCTATGTGCCCATGCCAACCAAGGAATACAGCACTTGTTCAGCCCTGAAACCACCCACCCCATGTGAACTGGGAGCAGGGTCCCACACTGGAGAGCAAACCGGCCTCTCGCAGACATCTGCCATAAGAGGACCCCAGCACGGCAGAGACCACCAGTGCTGATCACAGAGGGATGCCAGGATCAGGCTGGCAGGAAGCATAAGGAACCTGGTTCATAACTGGAGCAGGGAAGAGACCCACACAGCGAGAGTGGAAAATAACAGGAAAAAAAAAAATGAAGGTGACAAGATTTTAAAGGTTCAGACTTGTAAAAGGGACATTCTGTGAACTTGACCTACTGAAGGTATGGAAATCACCATCTCTTTTCACAGTATCACAGTATCACAGTATGTTAGAGATTGGAAGGGACCTCGAAAGATCATCTAGTCCAATCCCCCTGCCGGAGCAGGAACACCTAGATAATGTTACACAGGAATGCGTCCAGGCGGGTTTTGAATGTCTCCAGGGAAGGAGACTCCACAACCTCCCTGGGCAGCCTGTTCTAGTGTTCCGTCACCCTCACTGAGAAGAAGTTTCTTCTCAAGTTTAAGTGGAACCTCTTGTGTTCCAGTTTGTACCCATTACCCCTTGTCCTATCATTGTTTGCCACTGAGTAGAGCCTGGCTCCGTCCTCGTGACACTCCCCCTTTATATATTTATAGACACTGATAAGGTCACCCCTCAGTCTCCTCTTCTCCAAACTATAGAGACCCAGCTCCCTCAGTCTTTCCTCATAAGGGAGATGCTCCACTCCCTTAATCATCTTAGTTGCCCTGCGCTGGACTCTCTCCAGCAGCTCCCTGTCCTTCTTGAACTGAGGGGCCCAGAACTGGACACAATACTCCAGATGCGGTCTCACCAGGGCAGAGTAGAGGGGAAGGAGGACCTCTCTCGACCTACTAACCACCGCCCTTCTAATACACCCCAGGATGCCATTGGCCTTCTTAGCCTCAAGGGCACAGTGTTGGCTCATGGTCATCCTGTCGTCCACTAGGACCCCCAGGTCCCTCTCCCCTACACTGCTCTCTAACAGGTCATTTCCCAACCTATACTGGAACCTGGGGTTGTTCCTGCCCAGATGCAGGACTCTACACTTTCCCTTGTTATATTTCATCAAGTTACTCCCTGCCCAACTCTCCAGCCTATCCAGGTCTCGCTGGATGGCAGCACAGCCTTCTGGCGTATTAGCCACTCCTCCCAGCTTAGTGTCATCAGCAAACTTGCTGATAGTACACTCAATTCCCTCATCTAAATCATTGATGAATATATTAAATAATACCGGTCCCAGTACTGACCCTTGAGGCACTCCACTAGTTACAGGCCTCCAACTAGACTCAGCCCCATAGACTACAACTCTCTGGCTTCTCTCCTTCAGCCAGTTCGCAGTCCACCTCACTACCTGATCATCCAGTCCACACTTCCTCATTTTAGCCGTGAGGATGCTGTGGGAGACTGTGTCAAATGCTTTGCTGAAGTCAAGGTAGACCACATCCACCGCTCTGCCATCATCCATCCACCGTGTTATTTCCTCATAAAAGGCTAAGAGATTGGTCAAACATGATTTCCCCCTGGTGAAGCCATGTTGACTGCCCCTCATAACCTTCTTATCCTTGATATGCCTTAAGATGGTACCAAGGATAAGGTGTTCCATCACTTTCCCAGGGGTGGAGGTGAGGCTGACCGGCCTATAGTTACCCGGGTCCTCCTTCTTGCCCTTTTTGAAGACTGGAGTGACATTTGCTTTCCTCCAGTCCTCAGGCACCTCTCCCGTTTCCCAAGACTTGGTAAAGATGATGGAGAGTGGTCTAGCAATGACTTCCGCCAGTTCCCTCAGCACCCGCGGGTGCATCCCATCTGGACCCATGGATTTATGGATGTCCAGATTGCTCAACTGGTCTCTAACCCATTCCTCATCGACTAAGGCAAACCGCTCCGTCGACCTGACTTCATCTAAGGTCTCAGGGGTACAGGGCTCTTCAGGACTGCCCGCAGCAGAGTAGACAGAGACAAAGAAGGCATTCAGTAACTCTGCCATCTCTTTATCTTCTGTCACCAGGGCACCCATCCCGTTCATCAGTGGGCCTACATTGCCTCTGGTGTTAGTTTTGTCTGCCATGTATTTAAAAAAGCTCTTTTTGCTGTCCTTGACCCTTCTTGCCAGGTTTAATTCTAAGGATGCCTTAGTCCTCCTAGCTGCCTTCCTACATCCTCTAGCAGCAGCCTTATATTCCTCCCAAGTGGCCAGCCCCTCCTTCCATGACCTGTAAACTCTCCTCTTCCACTTGAGCATACCCAGCAATTCCCTGTTTAGCCACGCAGGTCTCTTGGCCCTCTTCCTTGACTTCCTACGTGTCGGGATGCTCCGATCTTGAGCACGGAAAAAGTAGTCCTTGAATGTCAACCAACTATCTTGGGCCCCTTTACCTTCAAGCAGCCCTGCCCATGGGATTTCCCCTAGCAATTGCTTGAAAAGGCCAAAGTTTGCCCTGCTAAAGTCCAGGGTTGCAATTCTACTTGGTATTCTACTAGTCCTGCCACACAAGATCCTGAACTCCACCATCTCGTGGTCGCTGCAACCAAGGCAGCCCTCAACCCTTACTGCTTCAACCAGATCCTCCTTGTTAGTGAGGATGAGATCCAGCAGCGCTCCTCTCCTGGTCGGCTCATCCACCATTTGCAGGAGGAAGTTATCATCCATCCAGTGGAGCCATCAGTACAATCAGAGGCAAAGGACAGAGCATGGAGCCAGCAGCGCGGCCGCAAACCCACCTCCTTCCACTCGTTGACACAGAAGATCCTGTAAGAGTCATTCCCATACTTGCCAATGCCATGCAGCTCGATAGGGTACTTCCACTGCTTGCTCAGGTACTCATCTGCAACACACAGGTACAGGCTCCAGTGCCTGCAGGCAGCTGCCAAAGCAGCTCTGGACAAAATCCTCATTCTGTGCTACTGTTACTCGGCTCCATTTTGGAACATTTTAGATGGAAAACACAAGTTTTGTCTCTCTCCTGGTGACAGTAGGTGATGAATCCCTACAGGGCACAGCTAAAACACCTCTTAAACGAATCACCATGGGGGAGCTTTAATTACATCTCTCTCCTCAGAACCCACGGAGGAATAGTTTTATTCTAAGTACAGAAAATATCAGAATCATAGCAGAATTCCTACTGGAACGGCCTTCTGGATGTCACCTGATGCAACACAGAGCAGAGCCACTTGCAGAACACAAAGTCACTCTTGCAGGTGTTCACATCTTTTTGCACTCAAGGTCTCTATGTATGTTATTTCATTCTCACAGTTGAGACAGCAGGAGCAGCAGTGCTGCATATGTAAGACCAACGCTGCAAAAACCAAACCACCACCAATATTTGCCCAAGAGAAAGGAAAATCAGAGAGCACTGTCTGAAAGAGCGGTTTGCCTCACTCGTGTAATTTAGACCATTCCACTGGCAAACCTGGGAAATCCTACCTGAGAACTTGATGATTGTTTTTGCTCTGAGCTCATAGAGGCCAAGAGGTTTGAGCAGCTCTGACATCTCTCTCCAGTCTGCATTCCTGGTTATTTCAGGAGAAGGATATTTCTTAAGGAACTCCCAGAGCACAGGAATTGCCATTTTACCTAGCGAGAGAAACCACCATGAGCAGAAGGCTGTGCAGGTCATTCTCTTTATTCATCGTCTGTGTATGCTTTCTGAAGTGAGTTTCTTCAGAGGCAAGAGCTATGATTGACAGATTACTGCTTTTTACACTGACACAAGTTAAAACACATTTATTCTTTCATTAATGCTATTAAAAATGGCAGCTGTTCTGACCCTGTAACACCTCCCGACCATTTATACAACATCAAATTGTATTAGTCTGTTTACCTGAAGTTTTATTGAGAAATATGGTTGCAATGAGAAGTTTCCACGGATCATGGAAAAGTGTTTCTTGGATTAGATTAAAAGGAGAACGTGGAGGAGTCCATTTTCTGAGGGCCTTCCTTCTAGGTGCGCTGGGAGCTGTACATAGAAACAACACAGGATGATTTATTGGATAGTAAAGGATGGGGTTACCTACTTAAATGAAAATAATAAACCCCAATGAAGCCCTTTTGAAGCAGATTCATCTTTGGGGGGGCACAATATGCAGATGGAGGTGTTTGACACCAGCCTTCAGAGCTGTTTGCAAGACACAAACCACTGAAGTGTAAAACAGGACAAGATCAGTTGTGCTGAACCGAGCTCTCTGATGCCACCTGAGCACAGCCAGCCTAAACCTGAAGAAATTCCCCATAGCATCATCTGATCTTGAGCTATCCTATCCCTCCCCCCATAAGAAATATTATAAGAGTATACCTTCTTTACTGTATTTACTTGAAAAATACGGACTTGTTTTCCTCCTATCCACTTGTGTCCGTGGGATAGAGTCTTCTGTAAAGAGATAATACCTCAGCATTAAAAGGGGAAAAAGAACCCAAGCATTTTGCTGTCCTGCCCCATGCACCATTTCCACTTTATGTTGTGATGCAAAGATAAGGATTTCTTCTAGGTGTCCAGAACATAAATATGCTTTAGATTCGCTCCGGTACTGCTCTGCATTTCATGTCTCTGAAAAGTCTTCACAAGAGAAGACTTCCTTTGCTGCAGTCTGAAGAAACAGGCTTAAACTACAGCTGAGGTATTAAATGTTGCCCACACACTCCAGCACACAAAACAAGCCAGGAAGAGCCTTTTCTAAGAATCAAACAGACCAACTGCGCAATGACATTAAGAGGTGGTGCAATGAAGGTAATGAATGCTATTGTATTATATGGCTAAAGAGATCAACAGAGTAAGTTCCAGTTGGAAATAAATCTGCATTAAGTCAAATGCTGTTGGATAAAGAAATGAGACATTCAGATGCTGAAGCAGCCTGACCTGGAACAGAAAATTGCTTGTACGGGTAAACCCCCTGGCGGAATGTTAGGCCCATGTTCTGCTCAATCCATACACGTACCTGGCAGCACTTTAACGGCTGTGAAGCTGCTCTTGTCACACAGCTGCAAGGCATCAGCAGCCCTTTCAGTCTCAGGTTTAGACTCCTGGTTACCCGGACTCTCTCCACCTGTCTCTTTCCCCACTCCCAACCCGCTGGGTTTCTCCTCACACTGTGCACATGTGTCTTTAGATGCTGCCTCTGCAGGTTCCTCCTCTGTCAGGCCCTGCAACCCCCTCTGCGAGCAAGCTGGCACCGCGCTCAGCTGCGAGGCCGACCGTGGCCACAGCCGAGCCGTGCCTGCACCCGCAGGGTCTGCCCCCTGCTCCTCCACACCCCACCTGCCCACCCCACTCGTGTCTATCTGTCTACAGAGCCTCTTGCTCTGTACGCAGCCCGTTTCTTGCTTATTCCCCGCTCTTCTCTGCCTTTTGTTCTGGGTGCTGTTGCGATCCCTCTCTTCTGAGCTCTTCACAGCTTTCCTGTTCTGGACACGTTTTAAATCTGCCCCCTTCTTTTTGGTTTTCAAACACTCCTCTGGGTTCATGCCTTTCCCGATCAACTCTTGGCTTTCCAAAGCGCATGGAGCGTCTCCCAGGTGCTCATTCCCAGCCTGAACACTTTGAATTCCATTCTCTGCACCATTTTGCAGGCCTTGCACTTGACTGTGAGGATCCTCATTTTCTGAATCACTTCTCGTGGCTTTTGTGCTGTAGCTTTTCACCCTCAGACATCTCCTCCTCCCATTAGAGGCTGTAAAATCAAAATCTTCCACTTTCAGCGATGTCTCCCCAGTTTTCCGAAAGTACTCCGCGAGGGCCCTTTTGGATCGCAGCTTACTTCCGTCAGGGCTGTGGCAGGAGAGAAAAGGGAATGAAAGACACCCCCCCTCACCCCTGGCTCTCACTTCGCACCTACTGCAGCATCTCAGCAACCCAAACAAAGGGCAGAGGCAGCTGAGCGCTGGCGCCTGGACCGGAGCAGCTCCACAGCGGCTTCACCGACAGCCCTCCCCGCGCTGTGCGCTTCCTCCCGGGACCCCCGCATGCACTCACACACCCGCGAGCCCCGCCCGTGCTACCGGGAGGGGCCGGCGGCGTTTGCCCCGGGACCGGCCGCACCTGATGAAGCACACGTCGGTCCGCCCCGCCGTCCTGCCCGCCTGCCTGCGCCTCGTCACCCGCTGCCAGCCGACGGGCACGGCGCTGGGCACGGCCGCCGCCGGTTGCTCCGCAAGCTCCATCTCCGCCGCCTCGCCAGTGCCCCCGCCGCTGGCACTAGGGCCGGGACGCTCCGCCGCTGCTGCGTCTCGGCTGCTGCACGGGGGAGCAGAGCACAGATCGATCCCTGCCCGAGCGCGACGGCTCTGGGAAGCGGCGAATTTAGCCCCGGTTCCCGCACGACCCCGGGCCCACCGCGCCCCACGGCGTCACCTGCCGCCGCCTCCCCCGTCCCGCTGGGGGGCGCTGCGGTTCTTTCCCGCCCCGCTCTGCCGCCGCTCCTGCGTCCTGCTCTGCGCATGCGCGCCCTGGCCCCGTTGGCGAGCGCCCCCTGCCGCTGCGGCGGGTCCCCAGGCGCATGAGCGTTGCCCGTGGCGCCGGCGGGGAGGGTGTAAACAAGGACCGCTGAGGAGGCCCGGCCCGGCCCGGCCCGGGCGATGCGGGCCGCGCTCACCTGGCGCGACAAGGCCGAGCACTGGTGAGCGGCCCTGGAGGGCCGGCCTGTGAGAGGTCGCGTCCCGGTGGGGCTGTGGGCCGGGAGCAGGCTGGGCCGCGGCCGGGCCATCGGGGGAGCGGTGCCGGGCATGGCGGCGGCACTTACCCGGCTGGGTGTGCGGCGGAGTCCGCGGCTTGGGGCTGCTGGTTGAGGCCGCGCTGGGCTCGGCGGTACCGGCCGCTGCTCTGCCCCGCTCCCACCGCGCGGGCGGCGGGAGGCCTGGCCTGAGCGTCCTCCTGCAGGCAGGGGTTCTCCTCCCGTGCAGGCCCCCGCGGCAGCAGCGCTGCGCTCCTACTGCTCGATACCGGAGCTCAGTAACGCTGCCCCTTTTCGAGGTGGTTTTTGTCGTTCTCAGCTCCCGTTCAGCCGCAGGGCAGCAGCCGCGCCCGTGCGTATGAGAGTCTGCCCCCGGGGCCGGGAGGCGGGCAGTGCTTGGGCTCCTCGGGGCACAGGGTGACCATCCCGGAGCTCTTAGGCTCCGCTGGCCTCTGGAGTACGCAGTTACCGGTGTTTGTTGTGCGGCATCTTTGACTTGAAAGAAAATCTATTTTCTGTCCACTAACAGGGAGTTTTTCGGGGGGGGGGATTTGTTTCTTCTTTTTCCTTTAGTATTTATGACCTTGCATTCAAACCAGATGGGACTCAGTTGATAATTGCTGCTGGAAATAGACTGCTGGTAGGGAAACTTTTTCCTCTTACATTTATAGTTGTATGCATATGATTCTTTTACATGTACTTACGAACCTATCAAAAATCCTCTTATCTCTACTAGTCCAGCCTCCTATCTGCATACATATTAATGCAGGCTAATTGTAAAGCTTTTCAATGTTTCTTACCAAGTTTTAAGCTCTATTTTCAAAAGTAATGGGATTTAAGTTACTTTCCTCATCTCATCCACTCGCACCTCACCAGGTCGTTTGGAGTCCATTAACTCACTTGTAGCACAGTGGCGTGGCTTGCAAACACTGCATTGTTACAAGTTTCATGCAAAGCTGTGAAAAGAAACTCGAATTGGTGCCCTGGCTTTGTGAGAAGCTTCAGCTGGAGCTTTTTTGTGCTTCCCCGGTTCTGCCTGCCTGTGTCTGACTCGTCAGGAGGAGCAGCTCGGGGCTGTGCTGCTCATGGGCCCTCAAAGCTTTCAGGTGGGGTGGGGGAGGCACGACATAGAAATGTAGTGAGGAGCACAGAGCAGCGGGCTGCAGTTCACAGTGCTCATGGAACAGGACATTGAGTTAGGGTCCTTTCCACTAATTTATTACATTTAAGCATCTAATGAAGAGAAAGAAGAAAGGACTAAAGCACGCAGGTCAAATGAGGTGTTTGGAATCTTCTGTGCGTGTAGTTTTCTAACACTGAGTTTTCTCATTCTGAGAAGTATTGCATTAAGGAAAGCTTCTGCACTTTAAGCCATTTTGTCTTGCATGGACTATATACTGTGTAAAAAAGAACACAAAAGAAGGTGTATAACCCTTTTGGCCTTCAGTAATTTTATCTTAGCCCTCGCTGAGATATTTTTTTATGTATGTCTTTTTGTTTGAATGTTTGGCTTTGTTTGTTGGTTTTTTTTTTTCCCATGTTTAAATAGGTATATGATACTTCTGATGGAACCTTAATCCAGCCTTTGAAAGGACATAAGGACACTGTGTACTGTGTGGCTTATGCCAAAGATGGTAAATACCACTTTGGGGGCTTTGCTAGTCTGGTTTGTACAGTGCATGTCTGTAGTGCCAGTTGCTAGACAGAGAAACCAGGGTTGTTTCACTAACTCATCTGAACACACACGTGAGTGTTGGTGGTTTGTAACGGAGAGATTGATCTGCAGAAGTACCCTACTGTTACATGTGAGGCTACCTGTTAATCCAAGAACTGCAGCCCCCACTTTCTTCCCCCTTGTACTTCAGTGGTGGTAAAGTTAATATTTGTGGGTAACGTGAGGAGAAGCCTTGTCCCAGAGATCCTCTCTCTAGCACCCCACCTGTCTCTGGTTTTTATTTTTATTCCCATAGTTTCTCTGTCCCAAGGCTTTCCCTTCTGATCCCCCACACGCTACCATGCTTACTACAGGCCTTATTCTGTTTCCAGTTCTCATTCTGTGGGGGCTTACTGTGTGGATTCAGAGGACTTCCTCTCAGATCCTGCTGGTTAAGCTTTCGGGGGTGCCTGTGGAAATGGACTGGTTTTCCCTTGACCCTGTTAACATAAATGCACACCCTGTGACTGACAGCATTGGAAAGTCTGGCTGCTTCCTTGCCTGGCTGGGCTTTAGCACGGCCTGCTCTATGGGAGCAGCAAAGTCAAGTCACCCAAGTTCCATGTAGCTGGAGGAGTGCTGTCACATCAAGACACTTGCAGTGTTAGGCCCTTTATTACATGAGCCTTGTCAAGTTCAAGAACTTCTTGCTCTCTCTTTGATTAAATGTTTGGAGTGAAAGTGATTCTTGTATGCGTGGGATTTAAATGATATCTAATTCCTAGGCAAACGCTTCGCATCTGGCTCTGCTGATAAAAGTGTGATAATTTGGACTTCAAAGTTAGAAGGAATTCTGAAATACACGTAAGTGACGCCTTCCAATTCTGTGCCTCTCAAAAGCGGACTTTGATTATGCTCTTCTGCTGTCAAAGAGTGTGTGCTATTAGATCTGGAGGAAGGTTGGCTAAGGTCAGAGAAAATGCCAGGGGGTAATAGGAAAGGGAGGAGGAAGAGAACAGTCAAAGTATCTGAACGAGGCAGGAAAGCAATTAAAGGCTTAAAAGAGGGTGAGAAGTTTGGATAAGACTCTGGGTTTAGAGGGCTGGCAGAGAATTGGGGAAACTCTCTACAGATCAGAATAAAATTAAACAGAAAGTGACTCTTCTTGTAAAACAAACAAGATTAATATAAAGCTGGTTCAAAGAGCAAATTAAACATCAGGTTTGGAGCTTTTGGTGTATTCCATCTTCTGGCTTTGTTTTTACATCACCCCTCTTAAACGGCATCTTCAAATTCTGTTTCTGAATGTGTGTGTGCATTGCTAGTTGTATGCACAAGCCAGTGGACTACTGGGAACATATGCAGCCGTATTTGGTTTAGAATTTGGATATAACCTTTAATCATGTTTCACAAACCACTATCTCTGTACATTTTTAGCTGATCTTGATGAAATACAGTGAATCCTGCCACTTAGAGACAATTTTTGTAAGGTTTATTACTGATCTAGTTTACAGTAATAGCAGATTAATTTGATGTAATATAAACTGATCAAATTATTTCTAGCATCTGGTGAACCTTTCAGCTATCTTGCTGAAAGTCATCAAAGGGGGCATTTAAGAATGATTTATTGAAATATGATTGTAATTTCATTCTAGGCATAATGACTCTATTCAGTGCGTTTCATACAATCCTCTTACTCATCAGCTGGCATCCTGTTCTTCCAGTGATTTTGGTATGTCTTCTTCCTCCAACTTTTCCATTAAGCCAATAAATTCTATTAAAGTTGTATAGCAAAGCTACCTACAGATGGGTACAGTTCTTTATATCCAGAAGAGATGAGGTACAAAATAGATTACCTAAAGTAATATTAGATAGTTATTTAAATCACTTAAACTCCTTTGGAAAGGGCTATGTAGTGAGGAGCCATGGTATAAAATGTACTACTTTGATACTATGATTTTTTGTAGAGACACTCACTGTATTGTTTAAATGGATTTTTTTTTTTTTCCTGATAAATACCATGTATTTAAATGTCCTAGCAGTGGGTGAGACTTTAGTCCCTGGGAAGTTCCAGCTGAGTTTTCTGACAATGTTAGTTTTCAGTCCGAACACTGGTCATTTGTCATTTACTTTGGCTTTTTGTTTGCTTTAATCAAGGCTTGTGGTCTCCTGAGCAGAAATCAGTCTCTAAACATAAGACCAGCAGTAAGGTTACTTGCTGTAGGTAAGTTTTAAGGATTACCTGGGTCATTTAAGTTAGTTTCAATGCAAACCATTCAAGTTAATGTGCAAGCGTAAAGGAAAAAAATGTTCAAGTGAGACAATTCAGTGTATGCAGAGCCAGTGTCCAGCAGTGTGATAGTTCAGTGTATGCAGAGCCAGTGCCCAGCAGTGTGCCAGGCTCTGCTGCCTGGCTGCTCAGTACCATCATGTGTTGCTGCTTTGCCATTCACAGCAGTGAAATACCTGGGCAGTGTTTATAATACTCCAGTAGGAATATGATTAATGTTTATCAGAGATGATTTGTTCTTTCTGGTGTAGTTTTCACAGAGACCGACTGGCCCCTCTCCTCTCCCTGCACCCTTTCTGTTTTCATAGCAAAGGGGTTTGGTTTTTAATTTGGTTTTTATTTGGTGCTCTTTATAACTGAATTCTTCTGAAAGTATCAGAGAGGTGTTCTGGTCTGGAGCAGGTGCCTTCTCTCTGCCTCTGTTAGTCACCTTGTGAAATAGCAGTAATGTGAAGTTAGAGGAAAAATAATTATACTTTTGGCTTATGGAGCCATTCATCCCCTGTGTTCTATTTTCAGCAGAAGGAGATATTAATGATTATGGGGAAAC